AGTGTGTCCTGTAGGACTGTGTACAACTGCTCTGGAGCTATACACCCTTCAACAGTGTGTCCTGTAGGACTGTGTACAACTGCTCTGGAGCTACACACCCTGCAACAACAACAACAACAACAATAATAGTTCCATGCACTTATATAGTTCTTTTCTGGACACTACACTCAAAGCACTTTACAGGTAATGGGGACTCCCCTTCACCACCACCAATGTGCAGCACCACCTGGATGATGCAACAACAGCCATAGTGCACCAGTATGCTCACTGCACACCAGTTATCAGTGGGGAGGAAAACAGAGTGATGTTGCCAATCCTTTTTTTTTTTATGTTGCCAACTCATATAGGGGAATTAGTAGGACGACATGATTGGTAAAGGCCAATGGGAAATTTGGCCAGGACACTGGGGTAACACCTCTACTCTTTTTGAGAAATGCCCTGATATTTTTAAGGACCACATAGAGTTTTGCGTCTCATCCAAAGAATGGTGCTTTTTACAGTATAGTATCTTCGCCAGTGTACTGGGGCATTAGGACCCACACAAACTGCAGGTTGAGCACCCCCTACTGGCCCCACTAACACCTCTTCCAGCTTTCCCAGTAGGTCTTCCATCCAGGTATTGGCCAGGCTCACACCTGCTTAGCTTCAGTGGGTTGCCAGTTGTGAGTTGCAAGGTGACGTAGCTGCTGGAACATTGTGTTTTGTGTGTACGACTGCTCTAGCGGTGCACACCCTGCACCAGTGTGTCATGTAGAACTGTATACAATTAATCTGGAGCTAAACACCCTGCACCACTGTGTCATGTAAGACTGTGTACAAGTGCAGGGACAGGGCTTGAGACAATTTTCAAGTATGTGCTCCTGGGAGAAAAAGGGCTTGTCTCTAGCATTCTCCTCCTGGAACTAGCAGCTGTTAATATTACTGCTTGTTGTGTTTACAAATCAATTAAAATGCAACTCATTTGAACACTTGCTCAAACACTCTACTGTACATCCTCTTTTTGGCAGGGACTAGTGGCACTATTTCTTCTTTGTTCACAAATGAACAAACATTTTAAGTAGAGTAAAAGTAACATACATGGGAAAATGCTTGTCTGACCAGACAGAATTAATAGGCTTTTTATGAGTGTTGTATGGATAAAAGTTAGAACTTCCAAGTGTGGCTCAAGTTCCTAGGCACTGGTTGAGTTCTGTGAATTAAGGTTCAAACCTGGGTTATGTCACTAGCTGACTGTGACCAGGATTCCCCAAATCTCAGTGCACAACTGGTTGAACACCTCCAAGGTTGGGATTAGTCATCCAAGACCCTCAGTGAAAGTGACCCCTGTGGCCTCCTGGACACTTGCAGACATACGGTACATCAGTGAGGGACTGTGTTGCCTCTGAAGTGTTAAAAAATGAATGACTCAAAATAAGGGGGGTCAAAGGAGTTATTCTATCCTGTGTGAGGTTGCAGAGTTTTAGCTGCAAGAATGAGAGGTGCAAAGAAAAACACACAATTGGCTATTCCGAATCAATAACTGGCGATTGAGCATTTTTTTAAAAAAAGGTTATACACTATACCTGTGAGTTCATAGTTCACAATTAAAATATTCTTGAAGAACTTTATCTTGGTGTCCATCTCTTACCAGTTTATTCACCTTCAAAATAAACACACACAAATGGAAAAAGTGGCACAAATAATGTAAGATGCCTCATCTCAGAAGTAAGCAAACATCCCATCTTGTTTGTTTAGCTCCAGTCAAGTCGTCTGTATGGAGTAACTGTACCCCAGTGACATTACTTCTCTCAGTCCTACTACTCCTTTTCTTGCAGGCAACCCAGTGTCTGCTGTGGTCACTTGCAATCTATTTGTCATTCCTGCTCTAAGGAAAATGCAGGGAATTTTGGACCCAAGGCCAACCATTATTAAGGCCAGGGTGAGTAACTTCTCTAAGGAAATCAAGCAGTGGTTCTAATCATGATTGTTACCGCAATAGTATACAAAGAGTTGTATACAAAGTATAAAACTCAGAGATCAGGTGGAATGTAAACTTGAAGATACTGATTCTCACTAAGAATCATTGGAAATCCTCACTGGACCTCATAAGCGGTTTTCTAACTTGAATACATTTTTTATTTCTGCTGTGGGTGGCCAGGACTGTGGTGTAGTGGACACGGAAATAATATGTTTGGACCTTTTTGCTATTTTGGAACTTTTAAACATTAAACAAAACAAAAATGCATAAGGGTTTATATATCCTAGAAAAGGTAGATTCAGAGATCTATGCACTCCAGAAAAGTGTCTTCACTTGTTAAGCCTAAACGTGGCTTAATAGAATATTGCTGCTTCCACTAATTCTTGTTTACATACAGTAAATGTTTAGATAACTTGAAACCAGTAAAGGCACAATATGTTTGTTTCTGATGTTATTTTACCTTATTACATATGGATTCATGAGGAATGGAGAAGTAGCCTTTACCTTCTCAGTGCTGGGGTCATAAAGCTCATTAACATTCTTCCCCATCAGTACACTGCCACTGCAGATAGCTCATTCTAGCTTGTCTCACCTATAGTTATCCTGTGACGTTAAGCTGGACCCACGGCCTGAGTACCATCGCTGCATACTGACCTGGCATCACCAAGAACCACTGCCATGGGCACAAAGTACAGGTAGGAGTGGCCATTTCTAACCATCGTGTCAAATGAGTGAGATGCTCTCCTCTTGTTTTCCTTTAATTATTTCTAAATGCTTTTGTTTCAACTAAAATAGTAAGAACACAGGAACAGGTAAAAGTGAAAGGAGGCCATTTCTCCCATCTTGCTAATTTATTATGGGTCTCTGAGTGTCACTAACATAGCTGGACAGTTTTTCCCTGATCTCCACCTTTCTTTTTGCATAGAAATGTCTCCTGCCTTTAGTCCTAAATGCACACCCTCTTTGTTTTTTAATATCCCCCTCCCCCTTACCTTGCAAAACCTCGATTTTCTGAGAGGTAAAGACCACCTTCAGCCTTCACTTCGAATGACAAATCCTGTCATTTAGACATAAAAACACATTAGCATTTGGACCCTGCCTACATTCAGAAAAAAACAGATCCACATTACACCTGGTCAAAACAGCCCCACTGATAGAAGTAAAATCTTGAGTACTGGGTTAAAATCAGTAGTTCTTGTGTTCCTTGGGTTCTAATGTGTGTGGTTTTTTTTTGCTTGGGGGCTCCTCTGGACTCTGAGGATACCCAAGTGAAAAGCACATTTCAAACCAGCATTCTGTGCCTCTCATGCAGGGAACCAGATGAGTAGCCGCCTGATGAGTATGCGCAGTGCAAATGGACTGTTGATGCTACCTCCAAAGACAGAGCAGTATGTGGAGCTCCACAAGGGGGAGGTGGTGGATGTCATGGTGATTGGCCGACTATGATGTCTTGGTTGAGAGGGGAGTGGTTACGGTGCATGTCCACATATCATTGACTGTATCCTGTAATATGCAACGGCACAGCTAGTTTTTATTGATTTTGGATAAAGTTGATCAGTATAGTCAACATCTTGAACACAAATAAAAAGAATTGAATAAACAGTATTTCAAAGAAAATAAATATAATAACTTTTAAGAAAAAGTCTAAAAATAAGAGATTTATTCTGTAAAATAATATATTAAGGCAACTTTTTTCTCTTTCATTGCAATTGCTTAGTGTGTTTAATGCTAGATCTTATAGCAGTAGCATTTTAAATAGCTGTAGGTGCCTGCGAAACTTGTGTTATTTTCTCATCTTTAAAAAAAAAATAAAAATAAAAAAAATATTGCAGATACTAAGTGCCCCTAGCAAGGCTGTCTGCTTCCTTTATATTAGCATAGATGACACGGCTATTTCCCTTATTAGTCTGCTTCATAACTGCTTCACAAAGAGCTTTGCTTGTCGTTTATCTTGTGAGTCGTGTTTATGTGCACAGTGCCAAAAGCAAAGAGGCAGCGTGTGGGTCTGGTGGCACTACCGACACCGCATTCCGGAAGCATCCCAGCAGCCACCTGGCTCGGCACGCCGCCGCCTGTGAGGGTGGAATTACTGGAAACAACCTTTTGATTAAACAAAAAAATAACCTCCTTAAGTGCTGACAGCCTTTTTAACCAACTAATCAAAAAATGTACAGAAATAACAAAAAAGAAACATGTACAGATATAAGTGAACCAGCATTCATGTGGAAATTAACAAGCAATGGGAGATATTGAAAAACTCTGTACTATAATGTTTTCTGTAATGATATTAAAACTGATAAAAAATAAAATTCCTTGATCATTATGTAAAAAAATATCTTGACTGGGTTTCATTTGTAATATGTCAAAGATTTTCCATTCCTATGAAAATAGTTGGACACTGAAGGTGAGTTGTGCTTGTCTCTCCTTTCGGTTCTATTAAAAATAAGACTCCTGTTTCCTGAATGAAAGTGGGTAGTTCTGCCCCTCAATCTGCACTGAACACCACAGTTGCCCTCTGCACCTGTGCACCTTCAATCTGTTTGGCACAAAGATTCAGCATCACTACCAGATGAATGAGGAGCAGCGACCTTTAATGGAAAAAGAAGACATCCAGCAGAAATGATGTAAGGGAAAATAAAGAGGTGCCAATCAAGAAGGCATGTGTAAGTGCAAAAAGTTGAAGTATCTGTTATTCCCAGAGAGTCTCCCATCCAAGTACTAAACAGGCCCGTCCCTGTTTAGTTTATAAAATAGGTTAGTTTCTTATAGTTTCTATCAGTTAGTTATAGTTTATTTAAAAAATATCTCTTTCTTCATGAAAGAATCATTGCAGTCAACCTGCAATGGCCAGTCTGAGAACCCAGCAGTCTCCTTTTTGAGAAGTCAGACAGACCTGTACTATAATGTTTTCAGTAGACCTGGGGTACTATCTGCACAGAGGTTGTATGTTCTTCCCATGTTCACGTGGGTTTCCTCCAGGTGCTCCAGTTTCCTACAGCTTTCAGCTGTACAGTAGCTCATCAAACCATTAATTCCCTAAAGCTGCACTTTCCTAAATGGCCTGTCACAGTCTCACTAGCAGACAAACCATATAAATCTGCAGGGGATACCTGTCACGGTTATAGTCCCCCCTCCTTAAGGGTGCTCCAGCCCTTTCACTTTAGACTTTATTCTGTGCACCTGATTCCTATTCCCAGCCCACCTTAAAAGCCAGGCTCTGACGCTCATCCGGGCTCTACATCTGGTTTCCGTACCGTGCGAGTCCGGGACCTGGAAGCTCCTGGTCCCGTTAAGGTTTTAATCTCTGTTCCCGTTCCTGTTCCCCGTCTGCCGGTTCCGACCTGGTTTCTGGTTTTAATTCCTTGTTTTGATGGATCTCCTGGTTTTGGATTTACCCATGTGTTTTGGATACTCTCTAAGGATTATTCTTTTGGATTGTTTGCCTCGGCCACACCTCCCCCGTGCACCAGCGCACTTTGGACACGCCCCCCTGTTTTCAGCCCCATATTCCTGCATGATTGTGTCGTCCGCATAGGGTCCGGAAAGAACTGTTCGTTACAATACCAGATTCCACACTCGCACACTGCGGATAACGGTATCTCTGGGGTATCACATGAGTGAGTGTGGCTTCTGTGGGAGACGTATAGTAAAGGGATACTATGTTGTGTGGTCAACATGGCTAAGGTGAATTGTTCTGCCTACCGATAAAATATGTCAGGCAAAGAAAAAATCAAAGCAAACTGTCTTTTTATGTTTATATCGGTTCCTCTCCATGAGTTAATGTACATTAAGACAAAATGCATAGGAAGACGTTATTGCTGATTAACGCCTCATTTCTCATAATTGTCATATTAATAACAATTCTGAGTCTTGTTTTTATTTGGGATATAAATCATTGTAATACTTATGTAAACCTGAAATTTAGAATTGCGCATTACTTCTACAGACAATACGATATGTGTTCACGAGCAGACAAATCGTACCTCTGATTTTCAGTGCACATGCGCACTTTGAAAGGGGATACAAATTTCAACGGAATTCTGAATTCGATACAACTCCGGCACGAACACAACACTAACGAATAAGAGAGGTCCGGTTCCACAGCGATGTTGTAGGTAGGCTGAGTGTCGTCATGACCCCGAGAAAACAACGGCACAAACGCAGCATTAACAAATTGGGGGGGGTCGTTGTTTGTACTGTTTATAGCGTCGCAACTTCACAGAGCTTATTACTGTTCTTCTGACCTTGTGTGCCTTTGAAATTTTAAAATAGCGTTTTGCTTGCCTCTTACTTTTTGGCCTGCGTTTCAGTCCATCACTCTACTCCAGACCATAATGTCACTGTATTATGTGTGTGGTTTTTACACAACTTTGCTATAGACTGGATGAGTCACCTTTACCATCTCCAAGATTTTCGGCACATCCTGGCGGTTTCAACACCAGTATAATTGGACCACAGAGACAGAGAAGTTCTTCGATGTTCCGATGTTGTCGAGTCTCATCAGAATAAGAATACAACAAATTTAAGACATCTAGATGTGACAGAACATATTTAAAAGTTACTTTTCAGAAAAACTGTGCAATGAGCAGAAGGACATAGATATTTAAATGGTGTGTAAGTCTTAAATGAAATAAAAGCCGCTATAATACAATACCATTTTAGACTCAAACCAGCATCTGATGTACTTGTTTATTTAGTGACTAATTGCAATTGAATAATGTATTAGCAATTATGTAACCTTATCCAGCAACCATATCACTCTGCAACTCGCTACTAGCAACCTACTGAAGCTAAGCAGGTGTGAGCCTGGTCAGTACCTGGATGGGAGACCTCCTGGGAAAAACCAAAGTTGCTGCTGGAAGAGGTGTTATTGGGGCCAGGAGGGGGCACTCACCCTACGGTCCATGTGGGTCCTAATGCCCCAGTATAGTGGGACGGGGACACTATACTGTAAACAGGTGCCGTCCTTTGGATGAGATGTAAAGCCGAAGTCCTGACTCTCTGTGGTCATTAAAAATCCCAGGGTGTTTCTTGAAAAGAGTAGGGGGTGTAACCCCTGCATCCTGGCCAAATTTCCCATTGGCCCTTATCAATCATGGCCTCCTAATAATCCCCATCTATGAATTGGCTTCATTCCTCTGCTCTCCACAGATAGCTGATGTGTGGTGAGTGTTCAGGCGCACTATGGCTGCTGTCGCATCAGCCAGGTGGATGCTGCACATTGGTGGTGGTGGAATGGAGTCCCCATTACCTGTAAAGCGCTTTGAGTGGAGTGTCCAGACAAGTGCTATATATGTGTAAGCAATTATTATTATCCTGTATATTTTAGGACAAATACTGTTCTTAAATTAAAATACTGTACAACATTAAATTGTCAGGGACATTCAGTGATATTAAAAACACAAGACAAAGTAATATTAACGTACATATTAGATTAATTGAAATGTTCTGATTCAGAGCCCCTGCAGTTCGTGCTAATTGGAACAACAACAGAAAGCCTCCAGCACCGTATTGAGCACAAGTTTAGTCGGTCTCCAGCTTTCACACATTTGTTCATTGCAATTGAACTGAAAGCTGGAAGCGATGTCCAGATAATACCTTCTTAACTAGTCCACTTTTTAGAGTAGCATGAAGCTAGCTACATTATGCATGCAACTGTGTGCTAAATCCGAAAGTTCGTTGCAATTTACCCCTCCCGTATGGATTTGTGTGTTTACTTTGGAATGCTACTTTCAACTAGGTCTTCCACGATACCGTTACAAATGAGGGGGTTTACAAAAATAAAATATATTGCAATATACTGGGAAAATATGTGGCTATATCTTTTAATATAATGTAAAATATTTAGTTCAACTATATATTCTAAAGATTACAGTTGAAATATATATTTTAACAAATATATTACCAAATATATGGTGTATAAGATGCAATATACTGTCTCCAGACTATTTTAAGACCAGATCATTCATTTACTTGGCTTATTTATTTATCTGTAAAAAAGTTAAATTCTTCCACACGAATCCACTTTATTTTGAACTCCATGTAATTCGCTATACATACTCTAATTAGGCAGGTAAGTAGAATAAATAACATCTTAATTATAATTTGTGGAATGACTAGCAGTGTGGCGCTAATAAGCTTCAGTAGTTTACTCTAGTCATTAGACATATTCTCCCCCATTTTATTTCAACAGATGAAACTAAGAAGAAATGTCCTGGAACTAAAACAAGTGATTTTGGGAAGACAATAAATGGACAAATCAATGAGTTTCATTACCATCTGAAGAAGATGAAAGAGGAAACCAAACCTGCAGCTGAAGTAAATGTTAAAGAAAATGATGTACTATAATTCAGAGCACCTGAATTCTATCCAGGCACTTAGATTATTTTTTGCTTTGATTTTATAATGATTTTGACAGTTATTTTCTGTGATGGTGTGTTTTGATATTTTTGATGGTGCACCTGATAGATTCCTGGACCGCGGTACCTGTCCTGCTGGTGCTGGGACAGCTGGGTGGCAAGTGTCCGATTGAACCGCTCCACCAACCCATCGCTCTGGGGATGCAGCGGGGTGGTCCACATCTTAGAGATCCCCAAGCGCTGGTTCCATTGAAGATCTGGGATTTGAAGTTACGCCCCTGGTCACTGTGTAACTCCTCCGGCACCCCTAGCCTGGTAAACGTCCCCCCCCATAAGGGCATTGGCCACCGTGGGGGCACTCTGGTCGGGGAGGGCATAGGCCTCCGGCCACTTCGTGAAATAGCCCATTGCAACCAGGACATAGCGGTTCCTGGCCTTGGTGCACGCAAACGGGCCCAAAAAGTCCACCCCCACCCACTCCATAGGAGCCCGAGGGCGCTTGGGGGGACAATTCTGCACCACACACACTGCACACGTTTGGCAGTACCGCTCCACTTCCCAGTGGTAGACACCCCCAAAAAAGTGGCCTTAGAGACGCTGCAGGGTTTTCTTACAGCCGAAATGCCCCACACCCGGCTGGCCATGCATCATTTGGAGCACAGCCCCGTGGAGCAACTGTGGCACCACCAGCTGGCACTGTATCTCGCCCCTGGAGGGTACCCGCCTCTCCCAGCACAGCACCCCGTCCCTTCCCTCCAAAGCCTCCCACAGGGAGCAGGGACTTGACGAACTTTGGGTGTGGGGCAAGCTCCTCCCGCACAGGCCGTGCTCCTGCTGCCTTCCAGCCTGTTGCTGTGCCACGTCCAACAGGCCCACCCCCAGTAGCCAGGGACCTCCAGGGTCAAGGCCAGGGCCAGGGCCAGGGCCAGGGCCGGTGCCCCCCTCATGCTGCTCCTGCCAGGCGCAGT